GTTTAGTATCACATAAGCACCATTCAGCAGTCCATTTTCCGCTGCCAACAAAAAGACTAACTTTTTCCTTATTTGATTTCCCTCACTGTGATGCTTTTCAAAAAGACAGCTTTCTGTTTCACGTAGTTTTTCGAATTTGATGTACAGCAAAAAAATACGGAGAAACATGAAGAAGCGTTTCACGGAAGCTTTATTTCCATAATTTCAGATATCCGATGAGGAACAAATGGTACAGGAAGTTCATAACTCGATTGAAGAAGCAACGAAACGGGTGGAAAACTTGTGCCAGGAACTCTGCTTGCCACAAATCGACAGAAGCAACCTAAAACCGGGCTCCATCGCGCTGGTATTGTTTGAAGAATTTCGTTTAATTACCAGTTTAGGTAATCTTTGTTCTCTTCAGCCATAAATTGGTGTTGGTCTATTGTTAGGTCTTCCGCAGAAAACCCGCGAAAAGCCGGCTAAGAAGCCACCACAAACAAAATAAGGAAATAACGGGAAGAGGTAAAAGCAGATACACAGTAGATGTGCTGCTGGCTGAGCCTGGAGCAGAAAGACCAGTAGTGTAGTGGTAACGCATTGCATCTGGACGTGAAGGGGAGTGGTTCGATTCTCTACCGGTCTAGGGTGATTTTTGAGAGGCGGCTGCGTTTACGTCAAAGATAGACCGTGTTCTGTTCACTTCTTTAGCAACCTCTGAGTGGGATAAAACGTTGGAACCTTCGCCAACGAGTGGTTGCTATTGGAAAAGTGCTTTCACATGAGCTGTTCACGGGTTTTTCTGGTGCCACAGGGATTTCTTGCTATGAGTGTATTTGTCGATAAGGCGAACAAGTAATTTTGTGTTGCAGTACCGCACATTAAAACAGGATTTGAAGCGGCTCAGTAGTCTGAAGGAAGATAAGCTGCAAGGTCAGAAGAAGCTGGTAGAGGAACTTGCACAAGTTGCGATGCGAATCGGTGAAGAAGTTGAAGATCTTCCACCAGTTTCAGAAGTATGTTTTATTTTCTAGTTCCAAAGGGTAGCACAGTCTTCTGATCTTTAGAAGTAAAGCTTTAGTTTTATTGGTACGCGCTATAATTCCTTATTTCTTGCGATTTTACATTGTTTTTGGAGTAGATCTAAGCGTAATCATGGCGTTTCTTTGCTTTTTTTAACAGAGCTTCTTGGTAACTGCGCTTCTCGATAATGGCGATAATCTGTAGGGGGTGAGCAAGTAGTTAAAATCGTGTAAGAGGACTTTTCAAGAGGACTGGAACTCCCTCAATTCTGGAGTTATCGGGAGCTACGGTAGAAAGTGTGATTGTAGCCTTGTACCAGCGTTTTCAGAAACATAGCTAAAATATCGATTCTCCCTTTCTTCTTCTGAAGGTATTTGATAAAATTCTAGGTTTGTGATGCAGCAACACTGATGCGTTTGCAAGAACGTGTGCACGTTTTCAATGAAATACTAGCCGAACGCATGGAGAGGGGCAAGCAATGGCAAGCAGATATGCAGCGCTGGTACAAACAGATGGGCTGCACACCATCAAAGGAACTCAGCCAGACGTTCCTCTCTTTGGACCTTGATAATGAGGAGCTGGTCTGGAACGAATGCTTCATGGATGAGTTCGAAGATGCCTTTGAGGAGGTAAATTTTGTTTTCCTTTTTTTGTTTTTTTTTTCTGATTGGTAACTAATTCCTAATGTTGCGCGAAGTTTCGTTACGAATTCTTGTGGTAGTTTGTGTTATTATGATGAATTAAATTTTAAAAATTTGTAAGGAATTCTTGGGTTTTGAAACCATGCGGAAAATGTCTAGGCTTTGTGAATTTGAAATTCTGTATTTTGTTCTGTAAATACTGGTTTTTCCAGTCAACACAGCCTACAAGCGTCTAATTTCATGTTGCGCCGAACCAAGGCATTCGAACAAAAATTTTTTCTGTTTTTCAGGTCAACAGCGAATTTACTGACTGGGCCGAGCAAGCTTGCTTTGACTATACGGAAGCACTGGTTCGTCTCAGTGAGCTCTGGGAATTATGCCATATTCCGGACGTTGAGCGAACCATTCCACGTGAATTTAATCCGAGTAAGTTACATTTTTTGCATTAGCACTGAAATCGATAGATTGGCACAAGAGCAGCTACAACGGGTCGCGTCGTCTTTTGGGCAGAGATACGTCTTGGCAAAGTTCAAAGATTACTGGCAGATATGAGATTTGCACGGCGTTAGCAAAAAATAAAAATCGTTAGCAAAAATCATCTGTTGAATTGTACTTTTATAGAATTGGCGTTTTTCCTCGGCACACCAGTGAAAACTTTTTGGGAGTATCATTTAGTCTTTGCGAGAAGCAAAAGCGCTCAGAAATTCCTCGACTAGCAGCACTATCCGCTGACAAAAGCGCAGTTGATTTCTTCTTGGTTTGCACAGAAGCAAAGTGATGGTGGCTTTAACCCTTTGGTATAAGTTAGCACCAGTTTTGTCATCTGATCCGACCGTAAAAAGACCGATTATCCCCATGA